ACTTGCAAAAAAAGTGAGACTAGGGTAATAAAGGATGCAACTGTGATGCAGAATTGGCAAAACTTTAAAAAGCCACAGAATATTCTGGAAGCATGAGACACAAGCCAAAGAAGATGTAATCAGAGTAGTTTATCATCTGGGAGGAGTTGATAAGCAATGTTGATCCAAGACAGCCTGAGGGATTTGGTCATGGAGGAAATATAAGAAACACATTAACTATGGATGATTCTCAAGAATATGGGTGTAACCTTGTAAAAATCTAAACTAATCCTTTCAGACTGACTTTTATTTGTCCTCGGTTTTGACATCCTTGCATTAATGGTTTCATAATACAGAACTATTGCACTGTTCTACTCCAACTTGTTAAATTTAGTGACTGTGTGAATCCCATGTTTTTAATTTAGTTTTTTGATAGAAAACCCATCCATTTGGCTGAAAAATAAATACAAAAAGGTATGCCAGGTTTGCGAGATGTTACTTTTGGGAAAAACTGGGTAAAAGACATATGGGACCTTTCTGTATTACTTTTTATAATTGCATATAAATCTACAATTATCTCAAAATAAAGAGATTAACTTTTTTAAAGTATGGCAAAAAAAAGTCTTATTTCCACCTTATTCCCATCTGCTAAGGTTTCCCTGACCGTGACCAACTTCCTCCATCATACAGATAAACTTTTATTAGTTTATATAAACAAATACAAATGTATACTATTCCCTGCCCCTCACTCCCAACCTCCACCTCCTCTACTAATTGGTAGCATACTTTGTTTTACATCTTGCTTTTTCCATGTAACAATGTATCAGAAATTTTTCCATATCAATGTATTAATTTAAAGAGAGCTTTGTTTGAGGTATTCTTTGGATAAATTATATTTATTTATCCCGTCCTCTCCTGATGGATGTTTGCATGGTTTCCAACCTTTTGTTATTGAAAGCAATATTGAGTAACCGTGTAGATATATAATTTTGACATTTCGATAGGTAATACCAAAGTTCCTCGATAGAGATTGAATCAATTTACATCCCTACCAGCAACACATGAGAGCCTGTTTCCCCAAAGACTCACCAAGAAAGTGTGCCAAATAGTTGGGTTTCTGCCAGTCCAGGAGATGAAAAGAGGCAGCAAGGAGTTTTAATTTGAATTTTTTACTTGATTCATGAGGTTGAGCATCTTTCCATATGCCTAAGAGCTATTTTCCCATTTATCCAATATACTGAAGATAACAATGTTGTAAGAAAATATTTGATAAGGAGGCTGGGTTTGAATGCCATACTAGACAGAGATCCTCCCAGGTTCAGGCTCTTAATTAGATTGCAATGGCTCTTCTTCAATGTGTTCCACTTGTTTAAAAGACATTGGAACAGATTGGTCGAACAATGTCATCACATAAAAGGAGGCTCATTCTAAATACAGATGGTCCCCGACTTATGATGGTTCTACTTTTGATTTTCTTTACTTCATGGTGGTGTGAAAGTGGTGCGCATTCAACAGAAACTATACTTCAAATTTTGAATTTTGATCCCTTCCCAGGCTCGCGATATGCAGTATGATACTCTCTGGTGATGCTGGCCGGTGGCCATGAACTTCAGCTCCCAGTCACAAGATCACAAAAGTAAACAATTTATACTCTATAAATGTCCAATCACTATGTCAAAGACATGAAACGAATATAATACTGTATGCCAACTATACTTTAATAAAAACAAAAAAGTTTTAAAAAAAAATGGTACCCTAAAGTGTACTATGTTGCCAGGGTTCTGTTTTGGTTCAATGCTTCAGACATCCTTCAGGCCCAGGGTACTTTCAGCTGTGCTAATGATTAATGGTGAGTCCCCATACAGCCATTCTGTTTCTTCACTTCAGTACAGTATTTGACAAATGACATGAGACATTCAACACTTTATCATAAAACAGGCTTCGTGTTCAATGATTTTGCCCAACTATAGCTAATGTACGTGTTCTGGGCACATTTAAGGTAGGTTAGGCTGAGCTATCCTATTCTGTAGGTTAGGTTACTAAACACATTTTGTCTTGCAATGGGTTTATTGGCGCATAACCCCAAAGTCGAGGAGCGTCTGTACATCCAAATCACTGACCAACCACCAGTGACCTACCTAATCAGGCCTTCCCTGAAGGAATCTGCCCTGTTCTAGGAGGAATGATAACAATACCCATTAGTGACTGCCTGAGAACTGTTAATTCGACACATATTGGGAGCCTTGATGGATCTCTCACACTTCGGAGAAGGAAGACAAACAAGCAACATCATAAGTAAATCACGTAATTTTTTGGAAGGTGATAGGTGCTATGGGGAAGAATAAGACTGGATATGGGGGATCAGGAGCACTAGGGTGCAATTTTAAATAGGGTCATCAGAGCAGGCCTCATGGAGATAATATCTGAACAAAGGAAGAGGAGAGGGTGAAATATGGAGGTAGAGCACTCTGGCAGAGGAAGAGCCAGTGCAAAGGCCATGAGGGGAGGCGCACATATGTAACACACAGGAAGGAAACCAGTGTGGCTGGAGGAAGTGGAGGGAGCGGTGGAGGGGGGTGGCGTGTAAGGAAGAATAGGAGGTATTGAGAGCAGAGATGAATTACAAGAGATAAGATTGAACATTTTTGGACAAAACTGATAAATCTGGCACTCCTTCCATCAGGTCCTGATGTCTAGTTCTTATCTACATCTTGCCCTTGCCTCGGTTATTTAGTTTTCTAGAAGGGGCAGAGGCAATTTAGTGCTCCAGCTGCTCTTTTAGGCAGAGAGAGAAGACAATCTAAAAGGCCCAGGCACATGTGGGCAAGACATACATGCTTGTTGATTGTAGCGTGATGGTTCCTGGCAGCAAGAGGACAATCTCATGCCCTTTCCTCCTGTAATTCTGCTTTTCCTAAGGGCTTCCTTTCTTTGTTTACTTTAAAACCTCTTCTTAGAGTATCACACAAGTGGTTCATCTTATCAGCTCATTTCCCCATTTCTGAATGTCTTCCATTTCAAGTTCACCTTGGGAGGTGATATTAATCACAACTATATCACACACCTCTACAAAGACCGAAACCCTGCCCTCTGATTGCCTGGCCAATGTGTATCAAATATTATCTGTTCCTGACCTTCGGATCCAGGACAAACACAGCTACCCTTTTCTCAATAAAAAGCACTGCAGGAAAAGCAGCTTTTTACACAAGTCTAAGAGGATCTATTCTGCTTCAGAATCAAGAGGAGCAAGACAATGGCACGTGGGACAGAGATGAGCCTTGAGAAACCAAGCCCAGGTTTCTGCAGGGGCACAAGGCCTGATGGGAAAGTCTGCTTGATGCATGGAACACCTCTTTCTGCATGGGCAAAACCACCACCAGTACTGCAGACTTGCCCTATTCTCCATAAAGCTCTCTTTCTTGCATTTCTAAACTCTAGTCTCCTCTTGCTTCATCTTCGTTTCCCCTTCCTCACTCACTAAAAAAATTACAGAACTTTGCACACAGGCAGAATGGCTGCAGGTGGGAGAGGTCCTACAATCTCTAGAAATCTCTACAAACTTTGAATGTCATCAACTTTTTTATCCCCTCACCAGTCACTACAGACCCAGAGGAGTCACAGCACTTAAATCATGAAGAATCGTTCTAATAAACACATCCGCCAGGAAAGCACAGAGTTGGGAGCCACATGAAAAGGATCAGGACATGTGTCTGGGGCGCTGACGAAGTGACCCTCAAAAGGCTGGGTCAAAGCTCAAGAAAAACTCATGAAGAAGGAAACAAAATAATGACAACACAAAGAATATGACAAGTTGACAATCTGTGGGCTCTGACTTTGGGGACACAGAACCCAGAGGGTTCTTGGGCAGCTCCATCTAGAAGAGCTTAAACTCAGCTCCCAAAGGCCTGGAGGTAGCACTGTTGCTTTTGGCATAGGACAGATCAAGGTGTGTGTGAATTCTGCTTCCACCATTTCCCAGCTGTGACATCAGGGTCACACTGGTGGTATTTCAACATCTGCTTAAACTTAGTTTCCTTTCATAAAAAA